AAAAAAAAAAAAAAATGGCCACAGGTGATGGCTCATGCCTGTAATCCCAATACTTTGGAAGACTGCAGAGGGCAAATCACAAGGTCAGGAGCTTGAGACCAGCTTGGCCAACATAGTGAAACCCCATCTCTACTAAAAATACAAAAATAATGGTGTCTTATGCCTGTAATCCCAGTACACTGGGAAGTGGAGACAGGTGAATCACAAGGTCAGGAGTTCAAGACCAGCCTGACCAACATGGTGAAACCCCATCTTTACTAAAAATACAAAAATTAGCCAGGCATGGTGGCATGAGCCTGTAATCCCAGCTACTCAGGAGGCTGAAGCAGTAGAATTGCTTGAACCTGGGAGGAAGAGGTTGCCGTGAGCCGAGATTGTGCTACTGCACTCCAGCCTGGGCAACAGAGTAAGACTTTGTCTCAAAAAAAAAAAAAAAAAAAGAAAGAAAAGCTGAATACTGAATATGAATATTAGGTATTTAATTAATGTTAAACATCTTAGCTGTGATCATAGTATTTTGACTACATAGAAAGATGTCCTTAGGAATAAGGTTTCATGTCGTCCATATTTGACTTTCAAATGATTTAATTCAATAAAGACAAGGAAAATGCAGATTCACAAGGGTAGCACAGTATTAACAATTGGTAATACTGAATCTAGTAGAGGTAATACTAAATCTAAGTAGAGGGCATATATAGGAGTTTGTTTATTGTACTAATCTCTTCACTTTACTAAAAGATTGTTTTGTTTGTTTTTTCTTTTCTTTTTTTTTTTTGAGACGGAGTTTCGCTCTTGTTACCCAGGCTGGAGTGCAATGGCGCGATCTCGGCTCACCGCAACCTCCGCCTCCTGGGTTCAGGCAATTCTCCTGCCTCAGCCTCCTGAGTAGCTGGGATTACAGGCACGCGCCACCATGCCCAGCTAATTTTTTGTATTTTTAGTAGAGACGGGGTTTCACCATGTTGACCAGGATGGTCTCGATCTCTTGACCTCGTGATCCACCCGCCTCGGCCTCCCAAAGTGCTGGGATTACAGGCTTGAGCCACCGCGCCCGGCCTTGTTTGCTTTTTCTTTGAGACCGGGTCTCACTCTGTTGCCAGGTTGGAGTGCACTGGCACAATCTTGGCTCACTGCAACTTCTGCCTCCTGGGTTCAAGGGATTCTCTCGCCTCAGCATCCTAAGTAGCTGGCACTTCAGGCGCGCACCACCACGCCCAGCTAATTTTTGTATTTTTAGTAGAGGTGGGGTTTCACCATATTGGCCAGACTGGTCTCGAACTCCTGACCTCAGGTGATTTGCCCACCTCGGCCTCCCAAAGTGCTGGGATTACAGGTGTGAGCTACTGCACCCGGCTTTTTTTTTTTTTTTTTTTTTTTTCTGGAGATGGTCTCGCTCTGTCACCCAGGCTGGAGTGCAGTGGTACAATCTCGATTCACTAAAACCTCTGCCTCCCAGGTTCATGCAATTCCCTGCCTCAGCCTCCTGAGTAACTGGAATTACAGGCACCTGCCACCATGCCCAGCTAATTTTTGTATCTTTAGTACAGACGGGGTTTCACCATCTTGGCCAGGCTGGGCTTGAACTCCTGATCTTGTGATCCACCTGCCTCAGCCTCCCAAAGTGCTGGGATTACAGGTGTGAGCCACTGCGTCTGGCCTTTGTTTTTTGTGTTTTTTAAGATGGAGTCTTGGTCTGTTGTCTAGGCTGGAGTGCAATGGCTCAGTCTCTGCTCACTGCAACCTCCACCTCCCGGGTTGAAGTGATTCTCCTGCCTCAGCCTCTCAAGTAGCTGGGAATACAGGTGCTCACCATCACGCCCAGCTAATCTTTTGTATTTTTAGTAGAGACAGGATTTCACCATGTTAGCCAGGGTGGTCTCGATCTCCTCACCTCGTGATCCACCCTCCTCAGCCTCCCAAACTGTTGTCATTACATGCGTGAGCCACAGTGTCCAGATCGGTTTTAAATGTTCAAAGTATAAAGATGGCAGAAGGGGGCCTGGCATGGTGGCTCACGCTTGTAATCCCAACACTTTGGGAGGCTGAGGCAGGCGGATCATGAGGTCAAGGGATTGAGACCATTCTGGCCAAAGTAGTAAAACCCCATCTCTACTAAAAATACAAAAATTATTTTTTTGGGGGTGTCATGGTGCATATCTGCAGTGCCAGTTACTTGGGAGGCCGAGGCAGGAGAATCACTTGAACTCAGAAGGCAGAGGTCTCACCACTGCACTCCGGCCTGGCAAGAGGGAGACTTTGTCTCAAAAAAAAAAAAAAAAAAAAAAAGCCAGGGGTGTCTGGGCCACAGACCAAGACCCTGACTCAAAAATACCTATTAAAAAGATCATTAAAATAAAAACATAATCCAGGAAAAGAAGCAAGACGGGGCTGGGTGCAGTGGCTCACGCCTGTAATCCCGGCACTTTGGGAGGCTGGGGCAGGTGGATCATAAGGTCAGCAGTAGGAGATGTGCCTGGGCAACATAGTGAAACCCCATCTCAACCAAAAATACAAAAAAAGTTAGCTGGGTGTGGTGGCGGGCACCTGTAGTCCCAAGCTACTTGGGAGGCTGAGGCAGGAGAATCGCTTGAACCCAGGAGGCCGAGATTACTGTGAGCTGAGACCACACCATTGCACTCCAGCCTGGGTGACAAAGCAAGACTGTCTCAAAAATAAAAAAACAAAAATAAAAAAAAGAAGCAAGACAGAAGAGGTAAAGTGACTTGGTCACAAGGGGCAGTGGCAGAACTGGTATCAGGACCCTTATCTCTGCCATCGCTACAATGATCTATATTTTTCAAGAGAAGGGCTCACTCTGTTGCCCAGGCTGACGTGCAAGTGGCACAATTTCTACTCACTGTAACTTCAACCTCTCAAATAGTCTGTGTCTTTGTCATAAATGGAAAGTTAGAGTATCACTCGCTAGGGAGACAGATGTGATCTCAGCACACTACAGCCTTGAATTCCTGGCCTCCAGCAATACCCCTGCAGGCACCACCACTCCTTTTTGTTGTTGTTGTTGGAGACAAAGTTTCACTACTGTTGCCCAAGCTGGAGTGCAATAACAGGCTCTCGGCTCACTGCAACCTCCGCCTCCCGGGTTCAAGCGATTCTCCTGCCTCAGCCTCCGAAGTAGCTGGGATTACAAGCGCGTGCCACCATGCCTGGCTAATTTTTTTTTTTTTTTTTT